GTCCCCACGCCGGAGCAGCTGCAGACCCTGGGCTGCGACCCGGCGGAGGCCCCCCCCCCTGACCCCGCGGAGCCCCGGCTCCCCCCGGCCTTCCTGCGCTTCTGGCTGCCCCTCCTGAAGGCGCTCAGCTCCCCGGCCTTCGTGCACCTGCTGCTGGAGAAGCTGTTCGGCGAGCTGAAGCTGCTGGCCGGCGAGCCCAATGGCGGCGGCGGGCGGCGGGGCTTTTACGTCTCGGCCTGGGCCTCGGAGCTCATCGCCTGCAACGGCAACCGCTGCGAGTACCGCTTCGAGACCAAGGGCCAGCGGCGGGCGCGCATGCGGGGGCGCGTGTTCTCGCACCGCCTGCAGCTGCGCTGGCAGACGCTGCTGGCCGCCTGCCTGCAGGCGCCCGGCCGCAGCACGCCGCACCTGCTGCGCCTCATCCTGGACGACATGGAGCACCCGTTGCCCCCGGAGACCAGGCACCGGCTGCTGCAGCTCTGCTCCATCTACACCCAGCCGCCCCAGGACCCCGACCCCGCCCTCCCTGTTAGCAAGCAGCAGCAGCCCATATACACCCTGGAGAGTCTGCACCAGCAGACCCGTCGCCGTGGTTACGCCTGGCGCGGCGGCGCGGACAGGAGCGAGTCCCCGCAGCAGGAGTCCAAGATGGCCGACGCGCTGGAGGAGAAGGCGCGGGCCCTCCGGGGCTCCGTCTGGCAGGTGTGCGCGGAGAAGGTGGCCTGGGGGAGCTTCCCCCTGGGGAGGGTCCCCCGCCAGCCCGACGACCCCTCCCACTTCATGGTGGAGAACTACTCCACCATGACCGTCCCCGACCAGCCCGTGGAGATGGACGCCGCCGCCGGACGCAGCGGCCCCGCGGCGCCGCCCGCCAGGCCCGCCGACGGCCACCTCTGGAACCCAACGGACGTCAGCCGGCTGAAGACTGGACTCAAGCTATTCTGAGAACCGCTAAAATACAGAGAGATGCTCTACAGGCCTGTAAATACCAACTCAGTGTGTTGTATCTTCTCTAGTTTATACAGAAAAATAACTGTTCCCACTCATCATCAGGATGAGACTAAAGCTTTGAGAAATATCCCCTTTAGGAACAGGTTTGAGCTAAAGCCCTGATTCTGTAAAAAGTGGCAAAAGTTTTTTCTTTTGTGTGGCTGGTAAAGATGACGGCCACCTCTGGAACCCGGCGGACGTCAGCCGGCTGAAAACTGGACTCAAGCTCTTCTGATCACCGCTAAAATACAGAGAGGTCCTCTACAGGCCTGTAAATACCAGCTCAGTGTGTTGTCATTTCTCTTGTTTTCTACAAAAGACTAACTGTTCCCACTCAGTGTTTCATCAGGATGAGAAATATCCCCTTTAGGGACAGGTTTGGTGTTGAAGTTGACTAAGCTGCAGCCCTGATTCTGTAAAAAGTGTCAAAAGTTTTTTCTTTTGTGTGGCTGGTAAAGATGAGGGCCACTTCTGGAACCCAACGGACATCAGCCGGCTGAAAACAGGACTCAAGCTCTTCTGAGCCCCGCTGAGAGGTGCTCTACAGGCCTGTAAATACCAGCTAGATGTGTTGTATCTTCTCTAGTTTATACAGAAAACTAAATGTTCCCACACAGTGTTTCATCAGATCCTGTTTTCTACAAAAAACTAACTGTTCCCACTCATCATCAGGATGAGAAACACCCTAAAGCTTTGAGAAATATCTCCTTAAGGAACAGGTTTGGTGTTGAAGTTGACTATGCTGCAGCCCTGATTCTGTAAAAAGTGGAAAATGGTTTTTCTTTTGTGTGGCTGGTAAAGATGAGGGCCACCTCTGGAACCCAACGGACGTCAGCCGGCTGAAAACAGGACTCAAGCTATTCTGATCAACGCTAAAATACAGAGAGATGCTCTACAGGCCTGTAAATACCAGCTAGATGTGTTGTATCTTCTCTAGTTTATACAGAAAACTAACTGTTCCCACTCAGTTTGTTTCATCAGGATGAGAAATATCCCGTTTAGGAACAGGTTTGGTGTTGAAGTTGACTAAGCTGAAGCCCTGATTCTGTAAAAAGTGGCAAACGGTTTTTCTTTTGTGTGGCTGGAACCCGACGGACGTCAGCCGGCTGAATACAGGACTCAAGCTCTTCTGAGCACCAATGTAATACAGAGAGATGCTCTACAGGCCTGTAAATACCAGCTAGATGTGTTGTCACTTCTCTAGTTTATACAGAAAACTAACTGTTCCCACTCAGTTTGTTTCATCAGGATGAGAATCACTCTAAAGCTTTGAAAAATATCCCCTTTAGGGACAGGTTTGAGCTAAAGCCCTGATTCTGTAAAAAGTGTCAAATGTTTTTTATTTTGTGTGGCTGGTAAAGATGAGGGCCACATCTGGAACCCAACGGACGTCAGCCGGCTGAAAACAGGACTCAAGCTCTTCTGAGCCCCGCTAAAATACAGAGAGATGCTCTACAGGCCTGTAAATACCAACTCAGTGTGTTGTATCTTCTCTAGTTTATACAGAAAACTAACTGTTCCCACTCAGTGTTTCATCAGCTCCTGTTTTCTACAAAAAACTAACTGTTCCCACTCATCATCAGGATGAGAAACACCCTAAAGCTTTGAGAAATATCTCCTTAAGGAACAGGTTTGGTGTTGAAGTTGACTAAGCTGCAGCCCTGATTCTGTAAAAAGTGGCAAAAGGTTTTTCTTTTGTGTGGCTGGTAAAGATGACGGCCACCTCTGGAACCCGACGGACGTCAGCCGGCTGAAAACTGGACTCAAGCTATTCTGATCACCACTGAAATACAGAGAGATGCTCTACAGGCCTGTAAATACCAGCTAGATGTGTTGTATCTTCTCTAGTTTATACAGAAAACTAACTGTTCCCACCCAGTTTGTTTCATCATGATGAGAATCACTCTAAAGCTTTGAGAAATATCCCCTTTAGGGACAGGTTTGGTGTTGAAGTTGACTAAGCTGAAGCCCTGATTCTGTAAAAAGTGTCAAATGTTTTTTCTTTTGTGTGGTTGGTAAAGATGAGAGCGGATGTTTGTTTGTTTGTTTGTTTTATCAGCTTCTTCTGAATATTTGACAGAATCTGGAAACGTTTGAATGTGTTTCTACAATAGTCTCATAATGTTCATTGTGCATCTGTGTAAAATAAAGCCTT